TCGCACTTCATCTGGCCCTGTCCCACTTAGAACACCATAGCACCCACGTGAAAATGCTGTTCATCGACTTCAGTTCAGCATTCAACACCATCATCACTCAGCAGCTGATCGGCAAGCTAGACCTTCTCGAACTTAACACCTCCATCTGCAACTGAATTCTGGACTTCCTCACTGAGAGGCCCCAGAGGTTCCCGATCGGCAACACCAGCTCCAACACCATCATGCTGAGCCCAGGCGCCCCGCAGGGATGTGTGCTGAGCCCGCTGCTCTTCACATTGCTGACTCAAGACTGCACCTCCAGTTCCAGCATGAACCATATTATCAACTTTGTAGATGACACCACAGTAGTGGGTCTTATCAGGGACAATGATGACACATCGTACAGAGAGGAGGTGTGACGGCTGGCAGTCTGGTGCAAGAACAATAATCTGTTTGCTAATGTTGGCAATACAAAAGAGCTCATTGTTGACACCAGAAGGACTAAGGCTGGCCAATCCCCACTCTGCATCAATGGTGCCAAAGTGGAGAGTAAAGAGCACCAAATACCTTGGTATTCACATCATAGAGGATCTCTTCTGGACCAGCAACACCAGTTCCCTAACAAAAAGATTTCGGCAGCACCTACACATTCTGCGTCGACTGAAGAAAGTGCACCTCCCCAAACCCATCCTCACTACCTTCTACAGAGGCACCACCGAGAGCGTTCTGACCAGCTGTACTACAGTCTGATATGGAAACTGCCACACCTCAGACTGCAAAGCCCCTCAGAGGATTGTGTTGACAACGGAGCGTATCATCGATAGCTCTCTACCCAGCCTGCAGAACATTTACACCTCCCGCTGCATTCGTATGGCCACCAGCATCGTGGCCGACCCCTACCATCCCTCCCACGGACTGTTCACCCACCTTTCATCTGAAAGAAGATTCTGTAACACCAGGAGCTGGTCTGCTAGACTGTGCAATAGCTTCTTCCCCCAAGCAGTCTGACTCTTGAACATCATGCTGCCCCCTCCCACACTGGACTGTCTCCTTCACTCCCTGCTCTGCCCTGCTTAACTCCCCTTATACCACCAAATATTTTATGTTTATGCTTACACACCTACACGTTTACATGACTTTCTCTTCTCATGGCATAGTTGCGCAATTGCTTACTGTATATTTGCACAATGTAATCGCACAGGAAAATCGCACAGCATGTTGCATATACATGTCTACACTAACTGTACTGCCAGCATATTTGCACTGTTTCTTGTGGTCCATAGTCTATAGCCTATTGTTGTATAATGTTGTATATTGTACTGCCACATCCTCCCTGATATGCTCCCGTTGTAAAGGTTTTTTTAGATACTTCTTTTTTAACTTAAGGGATTTGTATATTTAGAGATATATGTTCAGGTATCATTTATCCCCCCCCC